CCCATCTCAGCCTCCCATGTAAATGGTACTGTAGGCACTCGCCACCACACTGGGCTAATTTAAAAAAATTTTTTTAGAGACAGGGTCTTGCTATGTTGCCCAGGCTGAGCTTGAACTCCTGACCTCAAGTGATCCTCCTGCCTCAGCCTCCTGAGTTGCTGGGATTACAAGCACGAGCCACTGTGCCCAGCAATCATCTATTCCTTGATAAACACTTTTCATCAACACAATCCCTTGCTGTTCCTCTGATTAAAACCCCCAGATCCTACACCGTGACCTACTGCAAATCCATAGCAATTCTTCTCCCAGGGGCAGGAACAGGCACAATCAAAGGCAATGCTGACACTGACAAATGGGACGGGAGAGAGCACGTTCTGGTTCCTGTTATGATGGACTCTCAGCCTCAGTTTGCTGTTCAAAATGACTGCTGGGCACACAACTGAACAGAAAGGTACTTGCCCCGATAAATCAGGCCGTGACTCTGTGACGTATACACTGAATCGCTTCTTGGCTGCCACAGCTGCTTCCAGGACTCTCAGGACCACTCTGGAGTAGGCATGAGTCAGTATTTTCTGTGGATTGAGAACTTGTCAAAGAGGCCGACTCCCTGGTGATCACCTATACTGTCTGCACCCTAATGCCTGTTCCTGGCACCCTAAGCTTCTCTGTGTGCTTCCTCAACAACCATTATATAATCAGAAAGGAGACTTGATTGTACACTGAGTTTCCAGCCCATTTACAAGCTGAAAGAGTTTCTGCCAGAGGACTACAGCATGGGTCTCGCTTCCCACAGCAGATGAAGAAGTGGAACCCCCATGCAGTGTTACAAGACATAAAAGCCTGGATATCGGAAGGCGCCATGAGGTTCCCTTGGGTTGCTTTCCGTATTTCTAAGGTTTTCCCACTTGGGCTTACAAGCATAAATCACTGCAGGTTGGGTGGGGCCGGCAGCAAAGTGAAAAGGCTAAGTAAGGAGAGCCAGGAATCCTCAGCTCCGTCAAGTGGCTATCGTCATGTGGTCATTGTCACGTGGTCCTACTGCTGCCAGACCATCTGATTTTTCCAGAGGGGCCGAAAATCCAATATTGAAATGTTGGAAACCAGTTTTGAAAAATTTATAAGCACTGTTTGGGGTAAACACAACCTATGTGTGGCATGGATACAATTTGTAGACACTTACTCGGAACTTCCGTTCTGTGGAAGGGTGCAAAGGATCTTGTAATGCAAGATGGTAGACACAGCTCTCCAGCTCCTTTCTGGGCCTCACCTGAGAGCTTGTTAGAAATGCAGGGTCTCATGCCCTACCCCAGACCTGCTGAGCCCAGATCTGCATTTAATAAGACCCCCAGGTGATTCATCGACATGTTCAAATTTGAGCAGCTCTGCTCTAAATTTAGTGTCAGTGCATTGCAGGTGATGTAGGCACACATTACACTACACTAGAGCCAGGAAACCTGCGATACCGACAGCACGGTGAGTCTGCAGGAGGAGGCCTCAGCGAGCGGCAGTCACAACCTTGCCTCCATTTGGCCAAAAAAGGCTTTGTTTGCAATTGGCTTTTGTACAAGTTTCATTCACATCAATTACATCATTTAATAACATACTTCAAAGGTTGGGACAAGATTTAAGAGTCAAATGCAAGTACATAATTTTATGGTCAGTGGAGGCTTAGGTAGCAGAAGGATGTATACTGGTGGGGGAGACATTACATAAGTTTTATTACCCCTTTGCTGGGAGACTGGCTTAACCTGCAGCTCCGGTCTGTCCTCACTTATAAATACTCGGCAGCTTTGCATCTCTGTAATAGCATCTAAAATGAAGTTAACAAGAAAATCTCCAGTGCTAACTTGCCTGAAGAACATGCTCAATATTAACCAGTGACAAGAGCTGTTCTGTGTTGATTTAATTCAGACTAATTTACTACATATATAACCATAAAAATACTTCTTTAGTAAAATATCTTATTAAAATAAATCAAGAATCATCCATGCTGTCCCAGTGTCTGTCCCTGCATGTTTGTGTTTACAATGACAACCGTCTGTAATAATAACATCTACATTTATATAGCACTCACTACAGGCCAGACATAGTGCCGAGGACTTATGCATACCATCTTATTTAATCCTCACAACAACCCTATAAGGTAGGTACTATTGTCACTTTTATTTAACAGATGAGAAAACTGCACAGAGAGGTTAAATAACTTGTCCAGGGCTTCACAGCAAGTAAGTGGCAGAGCCAGGATTTTACCCCAGGCGGTCTGACTCAAAGCCCTTGCTCCTATTAATAGTTACGACACAAAATGGATATGTACTCACTGCCCCATCTTTGATGAAAGTGTGGCACAGGTCTGCAATTTTATTTCTCGACAGTGATATTCTCCTGAGAAAAAGTTCTCCCCGCTCAATCATGATCTTTTTACATTTGGAGTAATCCTGGGAAGAAGAGAAAAATGAGAGGACAGGGACGATCCAGGTAAAGCTGAGAATATGTGTAGCCAAACAGAAGTGGAAAGGTAACCTGAGGGAGGGCAGGGGCTTACAGAGTATTCCAGGGAGGTAAGGCTGATGAAGCGAAGGAAGAGCTCCCCGCCAGAGGACACGGCCACGGAGGAGTCCACGCCACACAGGGTCTCTATGGCACTGGTGAGGTTTGCTCTCAGGCCCTGGATTGTCTCCCCTGGAATGACCAAACGAGGAATGTGACAGGCCCTAGCTGGGTCTGCGATTCATTCATTCATTTAGCAAATATTTACTGGGTGCATAACTGTATGTCAGGCACTGTTTTAGATGCTAGGATATATCAGTGAATAAAACAAGCCAGCCACTGTGCCTCACACCTGTAATCCTGCTACTCAGGAGGCTGAGGCAGGAGGATTGCTTGAGGCCAGGAGTTTGAGACCAGCCTGGGCAACATAGCAAGACACCATCTCTTGGGGGGAAAAAAAAAAAAGACAGCTTCTGCTCTGATGGAAAGGAAGCACACAATAAGCAAGCATACAAAGAAATAAACACGTGAAATACAGATATGTGTAATGAAGAACAAAAAAAGCAGAGTGATATGCAATGTGGGGCTACTTAACAGGGATGGCCTCTTGGAGTGGGGGCCATTTAGACTGAAACCTGAGTAAGAAAGGATCCAGCCACATAGCGAGCCGGAAGGGTTCCGGGTACAAATTATAATAACGCAAAGGGTCTGAGATGGGAATAAACTTGGCATGAGAAACAAAGAGGCCAGCAGGGCTGAAGCATAGTTCAGTGAGAGATAGCATGGAAGGATACTAAGCAGCAGCAGATGAGGTCTGTAAGGCAGTGTAGGTGAGGCTAAGGTGTTTGGATGTTACGGTAAGTACAGTGGGAAGACACATGTCTCTAGGCCAGCAGTTCAGATTAAAGAAGGCCTTATTATTATGATTATTTTGCTTATACAAGGTGTCATGCTATGCCCAGATGCTTACATTTAGGATGCTAAATTAGTATTACATCAAAATGAATAATATTAAGAGTTTATTCTGGTGTATTCTCTGTAGCATTTGCACAGAATCTGATGCAAGGTGGAAGCCCAATAAACATCTGTAAAGCTGAACTATTGCTGTAATTTAAGCCTCATGGCTAACTTGATGTAAAATAGTCACTCTTGATTAAAAGTGTATTTCATTTATGAAAGGGGATCCTTCTAATGATAGCTTGAGGGCTCTCTCCAGATTACAAGGCATGAAATTAAGGCAGAAGCTGAGCCTTGGGCTGCATTACCTTATGCAGGTAAACATCCATCTTTCACCTTCTACATTTTTAGGAGTTATTAGAAGACTTTCCTAAGGCCCAGAATATTTGCACATGACCCTCTTTACCTTTATCTCTCTTCAAGAACTCCAGCAAAGTCCGGATGGCGGCCACTGCTGAGGCCATGTCAGGATCTTCTTTCATCTGAGACTTAAAGTATTCAATTAACTCTGGGAAAAGAGAAAAAATGATTCATCAAATTCATTTAGCAGGATGTAAGGCTAGAGAGCTTATTAATGATTGTTGACCTTAAGAAGCAAAATAAGAAATGTTTTCTTTTCGGGTTACTTGGTTTCAGGGACATGATAAACGTTGATAGGAATAGAGAAGACACCACTTTACTGTTTGCAAGATCTCTTTCTTATTTGGAAAAAGTTATTGGTGTGCAAGCCATAAAATTTAAGCCCTACTAAAAGATTAACATTCTTCCTCCCATCCTTGGACCTAAGTTCTGAGAGGATCCGAGTCAGCCACCTTACCAATTTTTCCTGCACCCCTCCAGACAGTCTATGCTAATGCAAGCCTATTAATATACACATATATGTAAATAAGAGTTCCACCCCACTCCCTTTATTCCTTTACATGAGAGGTATATATTATTTTGCCCTTGTTTTTCACTTAATAAAACACTTTGATAACTATAATAGATGAGCACATTAAGTATGCCTTATTCTTTTGATTTGGAGTAATAGATCCAGCAGGGCAGGAATTCCTACTCCTCCTTCACGTAGGAGGAAATCAACACTGAGAAGGCCTTTTTGGAGGAGGGCGCTGGGAAGCAGCGTGTGTGGACGGGAAGGTGTCTGCGGATACTCTCAGGGCCCATCCCTGATGCAAGGGCAGCAAGGGGGGTTTAGTTATGACTAGAGGAATCGCATGCACACGAGCAGCCTGAACTTCGAAAACGACCTCTCCGGGAGCCCAGCTTGGGTGTGAGAGGTATGGGGCACCCTTGCGTGGCTCCGCTGTAGGCCCAGCAGTCCCGCCTGCTGATCACCCTGATTTACCCTTGTCGTCCATGGTGCCTTTCGGAATGCAGAGCCCGAGGGTCCCGGAGCCGCCCGCGCCACTTCAGAAGGGTCCGGCGACCGCGCCGGCTGCGAGCCACAGAGATTGACAGCGCGCGGCGCGCCTCGGCACTCCACTTCCGGCGCTTTGGGGGCGGGGCCGTGGGTACGGCGCGCGGCCCGGGCCAAACCACCCTGTGCGCCGCTTGTCGGCGCCGGAAGTCGGGGTGCGGAGGATTCCGGACGCTCGCGGACCGCTGCCTGCTCTACGCTGAGGTGCTGTGCCGCCATGGTCTCAGACGGTGAGGGCCGCGCAGGCTGGGACCCGAGACCCCAGGGCTGGGGGGACTCGGCTTGGCCAGGACCTGCCAAATGGAGTGTGTCTTTTGGGCTGGGTGGAACTCGTTTGGTCTTTAGAGGAGTAGCCAACGTGTCCAGTCATTCATTCAGTGAATATTTTTGGATCGCCTCCTGTGTGCCGGGCGTTATTTTCTGCACCGGAGCAGAGATGATGAGAGACAGGGACCCTCGTGGAGGTTCCGGTGCAGTGGGCGAGGCAGACAACCGGCAAGTGAATAAAAATAATTCCAAAGGGTGACAAGAGCTGTGAAGACAACGTAATAGGATGGTGTGGTAGATTACGAGTGGAGTCGAGGAGGAAAGCTACTTTAGATAGGAGTCCAAGGGAGAGCGGGATATTGAAACTAAGACTTGAATGACTACTGGAAGTCCCGGGAAAGTGCCTTTGAAATGCAAAGGCTCTGTGGTAGGTCGAGCCACCCGGTTCCACTGAGAAGAAAGAAATGGAGAGCCTGGGGGTAGAGGAAGGCCAGATGAGCCTGATGTCTTGAAGAAAAAGGCTAGAGGGACGAGATCAGAGAACTAGCCAGTTGCGGGTCATTCAGGGCCTTGTGGCCCATGATAAAGTTGTTTAGCTTTATTTTTAAGTGTAGTAAAAAGCCTTTGTAGAGTTTTAAGCAAGGAAGTGTTATGATCCGATTTACAATTTTAAAAGGACTTTTGCTGCAGTGTGGAAAATGGATTGTGGGGAGCAAGAATAGAAACAGGGAGATCCTTTCAGAGGCAGTAACAATTGTCCATACTCCTTTTTTTTAAAAATTTTTTTTATTGTTGAGACAGAGTCTCACTCTGTTGCCGGGGCTAGAGTGCCGTGGTGTCAGCCTAGCTCACAGCAACCTCAGACTCCTGGGCTTGAGTGATCCTCCTGCCTCAGCCTCCAGAGTAGCTGGGACTACAGGTGTGAGCCACCATGCCCGGCCTCATACACCTTTATCGGTTGTATTAATTGGTAATTTTAATCGGTACCACAACCCTGTGAGGGAGGCACGCTTGGCATTGCTTCTGTCTACAAGTGCGGAGGTAGAGAGCCAGAGAAGGAAGTTCACAGGGACATTGCATGTGTGTAGGTGCACACCCCTCCCTACAGGCAACACCTTTTCTCAAGCTTCTTGGTAGTAGCAAGGAATGGGTGACCCTGAGAATTGTGGGGTGGGGCCTGATGGAGAATAAGGCCAAAGGTTGAAGGTCTGTGGGTTGGGGAGTGAGGGCCTGTGGCAGAAACAGTTATTAACTGCTTCTGTGTTAGGCACTTTGTTGTGTGATTTACGTGTATTATTCCATCCTAGCATTAGCAAAATTCATTCCTTTAGGAACCCACAGTCTAGTCGGCAGGACTGGGAAGAGATCAGAAACACACAACTGTACAATGAGGTAGCAAATGCTAAGTGTCATTAGAAGAGGGTCACTTAGTGTCCTGGGTGGTCAGAGGTGGGCAGTGGGGCAATGGAGAGCTGAAGTTTTCTTTTCTTTTTTTTTTTTTTTTGAGAGAAAGAGTCTGCCTCTTGTCGCCCAGGCTGGAGTGCAGTGGCACGATTATAGCTCCCTGTAACCTGGGATTCCTGCACTCAAGTGATCGTCCCACCTCAGCCTCCCAAGAAGCTGGGACTATAGCTATGCACCACTATGCCCAGCTAATTTTTAAATTTTTTTTGTAGAGACTGGCTCTTGCTATATTTCCCAGGCTAGTCTTGAACTCCTGGCCTCAAGCAATCATCTCACCTTGGCCTTCGAAAGTGCTGGGATTACAGGCATGAGACACCTCACCCAGCTGAGAGCCATAGTCATTAGAGACAAGCAGATCTATCTTCAGAACAGTGCTTCGGCCTTGCCGCTTGCTAGCTGGCCATGTGACGTAGGGCATGTTACTTTTATTTGCAAAATAAGAATACTATATGCCCTATTTCATCTAATCTAAAACAACATTGATTATGAAGTGAGACTTTATTTAATGTACCACTAAGAAAGAAAAAAATGTTGCCAATCTTAACGGTAAGATACCATCTGGATTTCAGCAACTGTTAAATGTAAAAAAAGGCGGATTACATCTTATTAATTGGTGAAAAACGGCAATAATATGTACTTTGCTGGGTTGTCAGGATGGAGCGGAATTATGGGATTACAGATGCCAGCGCCTGGTGCAGAGGCTGGCATTCCTGCTCTCCTGAGATGGGGAGCCTTGACCTACTGCTGGAAGAAAGAGGCAGCATTGGTTTTGGCCCCTGAAGAGTAGTAAGGATTTGAATATGCAGAGATCAAGATGGGGTGGGGTTTATCCTGACGTGGGAGTTATGGGGCTGCAGGAAGGAAGGTACAGAGACAGGAAACGCATTACTGCTTTTTGCTACTAAATGAGCATCCTGGGCTTTTCAAAACGGTTCATACATCTGTCACCTCATTCAGAGTATATGCTCTTTGAGGGCTTGGACCCAGTATTCCCAATACCTAACACTGATACTTAGTGTCAATGTTTGTTGAATGATTAATGTGCTCACAGTGGCACCTGCCTACAGTCCCAGCTACTTGGGAAGCTGAGGCAAGAGGATCGCTTCAAGACCAGCCTAGGCAACATAGTAAGACCCCTTTGTCAAAAAAAAAGTTCAAAAGAATGATTAATGTGTTAAGGTAGCCTGCTTAGTTGTGTTTATCTCTTTTGAGAGTAGCCTAATTCCTTTTTACAATAAATTATTTACATAGGAATTGCTTTACACTCTGGATTTTATCTTTTAAAAATTGGCTCCTAACCACAGTAGGCCTTGCTGCTAGGTGATTTGGTGAAATGGGCCACATTGACTCCTGTGTCTGTCTTTAATTCTTCATGCCTGAAGTTCTACCACTGGGATTCCTGCTATTGGTTAATCAGTCCCTTCTGTCCTTGACCAGGCAAAATGCAAATATCTTTGGGTGCATTCAGTAGACATTCATTGAGCATCTGCTATGTGCTAGGCAGTATGGTAGCAGCCGAGGATAAGCCGTGAACAAAACAGACAAAAATCCCTGCCCTCATGGAGTTTACATTCTTTACAGGAAGCAGGCAAGAGCTTGCTAAGGCCCACTTCAATCTCTAAAAGAACTGGGTCTTCTGCTAGTCTCCATTGTAGGATGATAAATATTTAAAGGCACGTAGTGGTGCTTGCTCTGGATTTAATCTATGAGTTGGGAATGTTACCTTTGATTCATTTTCATGAGGCTAATGTTTTTAATTTTGTTTCCTGTTAATTTTCAGAAGATGAATTGAATCTTCTAGTTATCGTGGTTGATACCAACCCAATTTGGTGGGGAAAACAAGCATTGAAGGAATCTCAGGTAAAACTGCTTGAGGAGGCCTTT